AGAGGCCACATCTGGAGGCAGGATGTTTGTGTCACTAATTGTTAATTTTGTGCACCTCTGTGGTCGTTTTAAGCTCTTCTGTGTCTCATGTTGGTAACTTTGTGCCTCCGTGGCCACTTTAACATCTTTTTAAGGTTCTTTTTTATTTCATTTGGGACATTTTTCATCTGGTTTTGTGTTATTTTTGTCTCTTAACGGTTGTTTTTGCTCCTGGAAGGCTGCTGGTGTAGAACTTTTCTCCTGATGAGAATTGAGCGAGTAACCGCCCAGAACATCTGGAGAGAACGGATCTTTAAAACATTAACAGCAACATCTGGTTCCTCTGACAGGTTCGGTTCGTGTTAAACAAACTAAATAAGTCAGACTACCTGCAGGGACAGCTGAGGGCGTCTCCTCCCGACTGGCACTGACTCTGGCACTGAGCACCGTTGGCGTGAGGCAGTCCGGACCTCGGCCGTCCCGTCTGGTTCTGTTCGTCCTGTTGTTCGCAGACAGAACCGGCGGAGGTCCGCCTCGGACCAGCAGCTGGGAGGTTTTGGTCGAGCCGTTCTGGGCCTGGCAGCGTTTCGTCGTCAGCTTGGCCGAGTGGCTCCTCCGGGTCGTTCTGGTTCTTGTGCTTCTCGTTTCGGGTCTTTTACAGTTGAGGCCGGAGACGTCTTTCCACAGCGCCGCCCGCTGAGGTTTACTAAGGCACGGAGGAGGCGAAGACGAGGAGTCGGCGACTTCCAGCTTCAAAACCAGGAAAAGAAAGAAGAGAAGAGAGTTAGCAGACTCTGTAGAGTCCATCAGATCAGATTAAAGACCCGGTTCTGGCTCCACATCCTCCCGTCTGACATCAAATCAGACTAAACTGTTGATTGATCATTAAAATCACTGGTGATCGATTTAGGACAGAACCAGTTAAAGTAAACTCTCACCTTCGGCTGGTTGGCGAGCTGCAGGGGGCGCTGTCCTCTGATTGGTGCGTCACCTGCCGCAGCCTGCTGACTCCGCCCCCCAGGGGAGGAGCTTCCCATCAGCTGGTGGCTCACCTGTCGGTCTGCGGCGGGCGGCTTCAGGATCTCCAGGTGAGGCGTGGCGGTGGCGAACCGCCTCCAGGAGCTTCCTCCGTCCCCCGAGGCGCCGCTGGAGGTCCGAGTCTCGCCGTCGTCCTTCGTCGGGCTCAAAGGCACTTTGGTGGCTGCAGCCGGAGCGTCGCCCGGGGAGTCGGAGGGTCCGTCCCCCCAGGGGGAGGACTGGTTGGTGGGCATGGCACGGCCGGTTCTTCTCTCTGAGGGGGGAGGTGGTGGGTCTGGGGGCAGCAGGGCGGACCTGGAGATGTCAGCTCCAACAACAAGTTCTCCGTAAAGCCGGACCTGCGCTCATAGCTGCAGCCGGACTCCGCTGCAGGTCTACAGCTGCATCAGGACCAGGCAGAACCGGGCTTTGGTACCAGACTGAGTCCAGGAGCCTCGAGGACATCAGCCGACGAAGAACCTTCGTCTTCTCAAATGCAGCAGAGATGAACGTAAACTTCTGGAGGTCTTGGAGGTGATGGATGATCTTCAGCGGAGGAGAAAAACCGCAAACAGCTCTGAAGAAGAGAAGCTCCGTCAGTCGTCATGAACCGTCCCACAGCAGAAACCAAAGACTGATGCTTTACAGATTGTTCAAACCAACAGCTTCATCAGCTTCTACGCAGAAGATCAGTTTCATAGACAGACGAGACGACGTCGGCTCAGCGGGACGTCTGGTTTCAGACTTTTCTTATTTTCTAACTGTTTCGGGGTTTTTTAACGAGGTTTTAGACCAACTTGAACTTTGTTATCAGTTGCTTTTGGACTGGTCTTCTAGCTGGAGGTGGACGTAGTTTCAGACTGGTTTGGATCGGGTTTAGGACCAGTTTCAGCTGGTTTTTCAGCTGTTTTGGACTTTGGTTTGGAACGCGGTTTTAGATTTGGCTTCGGACTGGATTAGGACTGTTTTTTCAGCTGGTTTTGGACGCGGTTTAGACTTTGGTTTTTTGCCTGGATTTGAATTGAATTTGGACCAGTTTTGAAATGGTTTGGACGGGTTTTAGGCTTGGTTTTGGATTTGTTTTTCTAAACCTGGTTTTAGACCATTTTTGGCTTCTTTTTTCAGCTGACTTCGGTTTGGACCTGGTTTGGGTCGTTGTTTTAGATTTGGTTTGTGACTGGATTTGGACGTTTTCTCAGCTGGTTTTAGACTGGTTTGGACATGGATGTAGAGTGGTTTGGACTTGGGTTTGGATTTGGATTTGAATCTAACCTGAATCTAACCAACATCTAAGCCGGATCTAACCTGACCTGACTCTAACCTGACTCTAACCTGACTCTAACCTGGAACTAACCTGACCTGACTCTAACCTGAGTCTAACCTGACTCTAACCTGTGTTTTCCACAGATGTTGGCAGCAGCTGCTCCTTTTCCTCCGCCGCTGTCACAGATGCTGATGGAGGACTTTCACGTGTGCTGTCAGCGACACGCTGTTAGCTTGTCGTTAGCTTCAGCTACCGAGGTCTGCTGCAGGTAATGTCACCTGAACACCGCCCTCACCTGTCCTGAAAATCTCCACCATCCAGTCCAACCGCCTCCCGGTTAGCTCCCGCTAGCTAAACTCCCCGTTTCTGTTTACCGCCCCGGTTAGCTTAGCAACAGCCGCCAGCTCCACACTAACTGCCGTCGGCGGCTAACGTTCGGTGAACCGGGACAGCGAACGGTCAAAGCGGCCCCTCTGACAGCTCAATAAACGTGTTCGTACCTGCTCGGTGCCGGTAAACGTCACGAACCCTGTGCTCCGGTGGTTTATCGAGCTGATACTCGGCGGAGTTCCTCACTTCTCACCGCTGGACGGCCTTTATTACACATCTACGGTCCGAGTGACACATCATGGCCCAAGATCGTCTATTGAGCCGCTTCTTCTTCTGCTGCTCGATTTACGGCAGAGTCGGTGCAGCTGCTGC